GTGCTTGTTTTGAGCAAAATTTCTCCAACCTGCTGAATGTATTAGGTAATTAACACCACTTAATAGCTGTTAAATAGGATAATCATCTTTTGTGTGTGTTTTTTTTTAAAACCTGGAAAATGCTCTGCTTTGGAAGCTAATGGTGCAGCTCAAGACCCAGGCTGCTCCCGGGCTCTCCCTATTAAGGAAGGACCTGTGGTGCAATGAACTAAACCCAGATCTGAAAACAGCATGTCCTGTTACATAAACCATGTGGTACCAGAGGCCTCACATGGAAACGCCATGCCACCGAGGAGGGCAGTGGGTTAGGAAGGTGCGGCCTTGGGGCGTCAGCTCCCTCTTCTCCCAGCAAGAGTGGGAGGGCCTAGGTGGGACAGGCCGGGGAGGGGAGGCAGGGCCGGCAGCTGTGCCGACATGCACTGGTGAACTTGATGAAGGTCACCCTCAACACCAGCCATCACCCAGGCCGTGGTCAGAAATAAAGGCAGGAGAGGACTTGTTTCAGCCCTTGGGTCACTTCCCGTCATGTGGTTTTCCCTGGTCGGATGAAGTCCTCATGGTTTAAGAAGAGGCTGGTGGAAAGGATCCCGGTCTCAGTGTCATTTCTGTGGAAGACCTGGAAGAAATGTCTGTCTAGGACATAAAGCAATGACTGTCTCAGGCACTTCAATGAAGGACAGTGCTGAGCACCCCTGGGGATGCCCGGTGCCTGGACATCCTGCCCCCCTCCCCCCTTCCAGCTCTTCCTGAAATTTTAGCTCAGAGACGATTCTATGAGGAGCCCTCCCTTGTTTCCTCCCCCAGAATGAATGGTTTCTCTCTCCTTTCTTCTTGTGTCCGGGTGCTCACATGCTGCCTCTATTTGTATTTTAGTTCCCATTTTGTTTTGCTGTGGAATCCACGATACCCGCTGGTGTTCACGGCAGTCTCCCCTGGCTAGACTGCTCTGCACCCATCCCCTCGTAATTGCAGACGATAAATATCTGCTGAATGAGTGCATAAGTGGGGCTCATCAGCCCTGGGAGGCTTGCTAAGCCCTTAACGCTTCTCATTCTGAAACATTCCCTCTGTTAGTGTCTCTCCTCTCAAATAATCAGCTTTTGCCTAATCATTCCCTATATTCCAGACATGATTCCTACTCCCATACCCCTGGCTTAAAGGAAAGAAAAGGAGTGGGTAGCTGCTCGTGTTAACTTAAGATGTCCCTGAATTGCCAGCATGTTGTAGGAGAATTGTGTCCCTTTAAAAACAAGGCGTGATTTGAGAGAGTGCTTTCATTCGCACCTCCTCCCCAAGTGGGCTCGGAGGTAGCTGAGAAATTTAACAAGGGAGTGAGGAAACCGGCAGAGAGGCTTTTGAAATGCAAGTGTGTCTTGAAGTTGCATGAAAACAATGATAAGAGACAGGCTGGGAGGTGTGGCCAAGGCAGGGCCAGAACCAAGGCTTGGTCCTAAAAGGAACCAGTCACTTCCCAGGAAAGTCCACGGAGACCCCAGGAAGGCCAGAGACAGGTAGAAGGGGCTGGTGAGGGTGAGGCGCAGAGGTGGCCTGCGGAGGACAGGCAGAGGATGGCGGGAACTGGGGGCTGTGGGTTCCCAAGACAGAGGAGCTGGAGAGCCGTCCTCCCTCCCAGGAAGATGCCAAGGCCAACCCTTCAAGAACAGAGACCACCAGCCACATGGACTCAGGGAGCTTTCTGAGGGTCCCTCCACGTGGCCATGGCTGGGAGAGCTGGGGGCTGGACACTGCAGCTCTGACCTGCAAATGCTGCCCATCCAGACTCGATTCCGTGAGCATAGTTAGTGACAGTGCACTGGGAGCACAGGACCGTCATCGCCTTGCAGGGGCACTGGGCCCAGGGTCTTCAAGGTCAAAGCAATACTTGGCCCAGGCATTTAGGAGAGGGACTGGCAGTAAAGAGCTGAGAGCTACCTCCACAGTTCCTGGTCTATACACAACCGGCTTGAGACAGATCAATGTTACAGTGACTTTTTAAATTACACTCTGGACTAGGTGATTCTGTGCTAAGCTGCTTAAGTACAGAGTCAGCTGCTCACCCCTTAAAAACATTTGATGAGCACCGGTGCAAGATCCAGGAGGCCACACAAGTTAACCTGCAGCACCATCAAATAGGCAACGTGCAAGTGGGCCCAACCCCGAGTCCTAGCTGTTGGGGTGTCCTGCTGAATCGTGCCATCTAAGCTGGGGTCCCCAGCACAAGGGGATCCGAGGCCTCCAGGGCCGCCCTGCCTACCCCGGTCTGACTGCTGTGGGCGGCTGTCTCAAGGAGAGCTTTGCTCAGAGCAATTAAAGAGGAGGTGGCCTCCTTCGCGCAGAGGGACTCAGAATCAGGTTTCCTGGCAGTGCCTGGGATGCTTTTCTCACAGTCGTCCAGTTTAGCAAAACCCCAGGTTCCCAATTGAGCCATCCTTCCCCCTCCGCCCATGTGAATCATGTGTGCAATGGTTCATTTGGGGACAAATGGAGAGCCGATCTCCATGCCCAGCATTTATGAGAAAATCCCCTCGGCCCTGCTCGTCCTAGGCGGACACCTGTGTTTTAGGGTCAGTTTAGCTTAGGTTGGGGATTCCAATAAAAGACATATTACCCTTTTTTTCACACTCATTGGTGCCCCAGGCAGACACGCAGGAACTGGATTAGTGTTGAAAACAGGCAGAGACTGGGTTTTATGGCTTGAGAAGTGGACTATTAAACTGCCCGTGGTTTTCCTGCCCACTTGGGGAGCTGGAAGCTTAGCTTGATTGGGGGTGGTGGTGGGGGAAGGTGAGAGGGGACTGGATGGAGAATTAGGAAACCAGATTTGGTTCTGGGCCATTTCACTACCTTCCAGGGTAAGAGTGACAAGTCACCCACCTGAGCACGGCCATTAGCTGGCACGACTGTTAATCCTAATGGCCGTAGTCATCACAGCCGAGCATCTTCCTCTGCTCGGTGCTTCTTTCCCTTCGAGGGCACTGTCACTCGTGTCCCTGATGGCAGCCTCACTGGGAGGCTGCACACGTTGGTATTTGCAGATGTGGAGGATTTTCATCCTTAGCTGCTGTTCTCAGCGTCGCACAGCTGAGCATGGTCAGGTTTTACTCGTCCTTTCAAACTCCCCTTCACCCCGCCTTGATGAAAGAACCTCCGAGAGCCCCCCGTTGGACTGAACTGTAGTCTTTTCAGCAACCCCACATACCTATATTGAGGCACTTATTTAATATTTATAGGCTAAAGCAGAGCTTAATAAGACATGGGGATTCCATAGCCTGTGGCCTGTGTGAACCAGTTCCTGTTTGTTGTGAGAACAAATGAGACTGGCCCCATTCAGTGAGCTTCTCTTACCCAAAACCCCCCCACAAACACACACACACACACAAAACCAATGTTTTCCAGGGCTAAGGGGTGGCTCAGGGAGGTGGGGGGCTGGCCAGTGCTTCCCTCAGTGTTTCCATAGTTTGCCTGGTGGATTCTGGGGAGGGTTTTATATAACACATAAGCTCAGGGTTGGGAGGGGACATCTAGTCCACCTGTCCCCACAAATGAATAAGAAACAAACATCCCCGCCTGGCGGTCAGTCAGCCCCTGTCCAGCGCTTGCTGAAGGAAGGCGTGGCTGTGACAGTCGCAAGGGGATCCAGAGAGAGGAGCACCGCTTACCTTTTCCCACTGGTTACTCATCCTGTCCTACACGATAGGTTAATTATGCCACAGCAAGAAATAACTCTCAGATCTCAGTCGCTTAAAATAACCCAAGTTTCCTGCTCAAAAGCTCACTCATGCTCTGTGTCCATCACCGGCCAGCCTGGGGCCCCTCCTTCACGATGGCTTCAGGAGGGTGGAGCACCCACCACCCTAAATGCTTCTCGCTCTGTCCGAGGGGGGGGGGAGGGAGGCCGGATCGCTTTGCATTGGCCGTAACTCCCCCAGCTTTCTCTGCGCCACAATTGTGCCCCAGCCCTTCAGCCCCACCCAGGGCGTTGGTCTGTCTCCCTGTGTTCCCAAAGGCAGAGTGTGGACGCGTTGGGGGGCAGCGGCCACCCTGAAGACCTGGTGCAGATGGCCAGGCCCGTTTTCAGCTTGTCTGGGAGGAATAGATTCCCTACGTCTTCCCCACCATCGCGGCCCTGACAGCAAAACCAGTGTGTGTGTGAAAAGGGCACCATCGCCCCCAAAGTCTCCCCGGGTGAGCTGGAGGAGCCGCTCCCACTTGTAAGATCCTGTTCAGTGACAGTGAGAGGCAACTGGGAGAAGCCCCCCAGAGAGCAGGATGAACTCTCCAGCTTTTTCCCCACCACCACGCCCAACCCCCAACAGGCTGGGGCCTCCAGAACCAGCGGGCCTCTGTTAGTTTTCCTTAGTGTGGTGACAGTGACGAATCCACCCTGTTCGGGAGGCGGCAGCTCCCACTATAAATCAGGCCTGGAAGAGGGAGGAAGCGTGGTGATTAACAGTGGGACCTGAAACCCAGGCTGTAATCAGTCAGAGATTTGTCACTGGAGTTGGAGACAGGGATGGTGCTATCGCGGATGACTCAGGCCTAGGGCTGCTGTCTCTAACCCAGTTAATTATCCCCGAGTAAGTGGCTGAAACTAACAATTTAGGAAAAGGAGAGATGCGCACAGCACAAGTCACAGCCGCCGCCTCCCGGGGCTGGCAGGCCCAGCTCCGAGAACGAGGGCTTTCTCTCTGAACCGGAGGAGGTAGGGCGGTGCCTTGGCAGGTGCAGATGGTTGGCCAGGGTGGCTGCAGGGTGCTGTGAGGAGAGCCGATGGGACAAGCCCCCTCCCGCCAGGTGGTGGAGGCTCAGAGGGGCTGGCTCTGGTACCATCGAGAGGAGAACTTACCAGGACGGGTCACAGTCCTGGGGCAGTGAGTGTGGCTGCGGGGAGGGTGCTGTGTCACCAGCATGTGGGAGGCAGCACTGGGCAGAAGTCAGCAGTCACCGAGGCAGGGTGACGGTTCCTCTAACTCAGCCCTGTGTCTCGGCTCCCTCTCCAGCTGGTGCTGCCAGAATACTCCATCCACAGCCTCTTCTGCATCATGTTCCTGTGTGCGCAGGAGTGGCTCACCCTGGGGCTGAATGTCCCTCTACTTTTCTATCACTTCTGGAGGTAAGTCTGCCCGGGACTGGCTGGTCCTTTCTCGTTTCTGTGTGGGCAGCCTGCCCCAGAGACGATGTCTCCCAGATAACAAGCCACCAAGGGTCTTCCTCTCACCTCTTCCCTTGGGAGAACCTCTCTCCAGCGCCTGCTTCCCGAGCTGCTCTCAGGCAGCAGGTCCAGTAAGGAAAGTCCCTTGTACAGGCCCCACTAACCCCAGCCTCACCCTGTAGGTCAGTGTGAAAAGCAGCTACAGCATAATTCCAAATAGCCAAAAAGTAGAAACAACCCAAGTGTTTGTCAACGGATGAATGGATAAACAGAATGTGGTATATCCTTACAGTGGAATATTATTTGGCAATGAAAAGGAATGAAGTACTGGTACATGCTACAGCATGAATGAACTTTAAAAAAAAAACCACAAGTGAAAGAAGCCAGTCACAAAAGGCCATTTACACAAAATGTCCAAAATACGCCAATCTACAGAAAGTAGATTGGTGGTTGCTAGAGGGGGGTGGGGTGGGGAGTGACTGCTAATGGGGACAGGTTTTGTTTTTAGGATGGTGAAAATGTTCTGAAATTTGATATTGCCGGTGGTGGTACAACTCTATGAATATGCTAAAAACCACTGAATTGTGTACTTTAAAAAGGTGGCTTTTCTTTGCTGTGTCTGAAGTGGGAGGGGTCCCGTCCAGTGACGCTTCTCACACAGACAAAGCCCCTTCTGCTCCGGCTCTATCTGCTTAAATAAAAGTAGAACCATAGAACTTTTATTCAGTACCTGTTCTTTGCAGGTGATTTGCATGGGTCACCTCATATAATCATCACAATAGTCCTTTGGAGTAAGCAGTTTCACCCCCATTTTACAGATGGGTAAGTTGAGGCTCAGAGAGGGTAATGACTGATCCGAGGAAGGTCAGCCTGGTGACCAGTGAGCAGCAGAGCCCTGGCTCTTTGCATTGAGCCACTCGGCCACCCTGACACCCGTGCCTCCACTTAATGAGGTCACCTGGGAGCAAGGCCACAGCAACAGCAAATCGGTTTTGAAATCTGTCCCTGGGAAGAGGAGAGGAGAGTGGCCTGGAGGGTTATGAGCTGGCAGATGTCATTGGATCTGGCTTGTGATGTCCTCTTAGCATAGTGCCAGTGACAGTTCACTTCAGTGCCATCCTGTGCAGGGGAAGGAAGAGGGAGCTGAGGTACCAGCTCTGTGAGTCGCTTTGTTCCAGGGATGCTCTTCAAAGCCGGTGTGACTAATCTGGTCCTCATCACAGGCCAGAACCAGAGCCTGTCTCAGAGTCGCAGGAGCCACTAATTTGCACCCTAGCCTCCTGACTTCCTTACCAGATTGACAGAAAAACAACCCAGTGAGGGAGCTCAGACCTACTTTGCTCCTGTGGAGGAGGCTGAGGCCCAGGCCCTGGGGGCCGTGGCAGAGAGTGGAACTACCCCAGGGCCAGGGCAGTCCCCAGGGAGGCCCTCGCCTCCTGCCTTTCTACTTCCACAGGGGCTCCTGCCGGTTTCACCCAGCTCGGGAGTTTCTCTCCTGTGAATGAGGCCAGTTCGTGCTGAGCCAGCATGGTGTTTTGAGGCAAAGTTTGCTCCCACCGGCTTCCCGTCTTCTGCACACGGGCCTTTTGCTCACCCAGTGTCCGTCTGGGGCTGCTCTCTCCCCACGGTGGCCAGTATTCTCTTTGTTGTTCTGGGTCCTTCTATCAAGCAGAGAAGTACCTGTAAACGACTCCACATTCCAGTGGGAATATGTTGTCCCTCCCAGAGTGTTCAGGATTTTAAAAGAGGGTCTGGGTAGAGGACAATATTTAACCCAGTGACACCTGTACGTCTACTGATACCTGTGGATACACAGCACAGATCCCCCCTCTCCACACCCCTGGAGAAAGGAGGCCCTTCCTGGCACCTCCCAGGCGCCACCTCTTCCTTCTGTCGGAGCAGCTCTGCATGTGGGTGAAACCACCGTGACGCCTGCAGATCTGCGTGTTGGGAGAGTTGCCACCTGCTAGGAGACGGTGGCTGAGCTGTTGTCAGCAGTTTCTGGCCGCGGTTCAAGCAGAAGGCAGACAGCAGCTTAGCTAAACTTCCTCGAGGGCGGTCCAGCATCCGGAGGGCTCGGCCCGGGTGACTTCAGACGTCCCTTTCAAGCCTCAGACCCACCGACGCCCTGTCCTCCCCCCGCAGGTACTTCCACTGCCCGGCAGACAGTTCCGAGCTCGCCTATGACCCACCCGTGGTCATGAACGCAGACACCTTGAGCTACTGTCAGAAGGAGGCCTGGTGTAAGCTGGCCTTCTATCTCCTGTCCTTCTTCTATTACCTGTACTGGTGAGTCTGCGCCCCTCCTGGCGGGCCTGACTCCTGCGGGACGTGGGGGGCTTTAGGCTGGCCGCCTGGGCTTCGGGAGGCGGCCTGTGAGCCTATCGGGTAGGAGGCCTGCTGTCTGCCTTGGGTTCGGGAGCGAGTGAGGGCAGGGAGGTCCCGCAGGAGGCCTCACCTGCTGCCGTGGGCATCCTTAGGGCACTCAGGGAAAACACACCGCTGCCCCGGAGGCACAGCCTCACCGCCCCCTGCCCCCTCGCCCGTGTATCAGCATCCTCAGGACCTTAACAGGGACCCCGCGGCAGTGATGCTCACCGGGTCACTAAACGCCTACACTTACAATTCTCCCCGTGTTGCACAACACCCTTCTAATGAACTGAAACGCGCAGACTTTGCAATTCCATTCCCGACATGTCCCTGCTTTTCCCGTCTTCACTCAAACATCCTAGCTGAGTGGATGGCTTTAAACAGACTGTCTTCTGGTTTCACACCCCAGAGAGTGGCTTCGCTGGGAGCCTCTCTTCCCCCTTCCTGCCCCCCTTTGGGCTCATCTCTGAGGTGTCTCACCTGTCACTTTGCTGTCCTGTCGGTACCTGTGCCAGGGCACGATATCTTCAAGTATCCCAGCACTGTCCCCAGGATGGCCTGGCTGACAGTAGCTGGGTGAGGAACAGGAGGATGGGGGGAGGGGGGGGAGTTCGGGTTGGGCTAGAACAGGCTGAGAAATGGCTGTACACTCACCATCGGTTCCCAGCCTCGAGGACGGTGCTGGGCCCGCAGGAGGTGCTGTTTTTCTTTCTGCCAAATCAACAAAGTGTATATTTTGGTGCCAAACATTCCGTGGTCTTGCAGCATTAGCCTGGACTGACACGTCATCCGGCATAAGCTGGGAGCCCCTAGACGCAGCCATCCTGCAAGCAGGTGGCAGCTGGTGGGATAAAGTCTCCACTGCAAACACCCCCTCCCCCTCGGGACCTGCCTGCAATCGCAGGAAAGGGAACTAACAGCCGTAACAATCAGCCTGCTGAGACTGATACAGGCACCCAGAGAATCACATCTTCTATCTAAGAGACACAGTATGCGGCAGGAATGAGACAGTGACAGGGTGGCCCGGGGTCTGGCTTTTGAGGGCCAGTCTGAGTCCCCTGCGGGCTCCCACTAATGCCTTCTCCCCCTTCTTCTTGCCTTCAGCATGATCTACACTTTAGTGAGCTCTTAACTCGAAGACCACACCCATCGTCAGAGACTGGATGGGAGAGAGCCGAGGCTGAGCGGTCACTTCTGCTGGTGGCTGGTGAAGGGACCACAGTGGGATGTGTGAGGAGGGCACGTGGCCGACACTGACTGCATCAGAACTGGAGCCGGCGGCAGGGGGGCCGAGTGAACCACGCACGTGTGTTGTTGCCCCGTGTATCCCAGGCTTCGCTCAGTGTTCACACCGCACTCGGGGTGTAGGTCCCTCTGAGCAGTGGGGGCGCCGGGGAGTGGGTGATGAAACACGAGGCCACACCTGAGCAAGTATCGCTGCTTCCTGAGTCCACTTCATCCAGCATCTCCCCTCAAGTCCGCTCTGATTTCCTGGACCATGGGAGGGGGGCCTGGTAGGCCGGAAGGTGCCTACCAAGGAACAGAATGACCCAGAGTCAAGGCTGAGTCTTGGGACCCATCAAAGGCCGCAGGGTGTGGGGGGTACCCAAGGCCCTGGAGTTCCTTCCCTGCCGCGGCCACGGTCTGGAGGGTGTGCAGTTGCCTTCGCTGTGACCGCCAGCCTTGACCTGCAGGGGTGGCCGTGTTCATGCCCGGCTTTGTGAGAGCCCAGCTTAGTGACATCTTGAGCTGGATCTGGGGCAATATGTTAGTAATAAGTCATGCCCAAAGTCACGGATGTGGGGGTGGGCCGGGAAGGGGGAATCATCGGAAAAAGTGATTTTGAAAAACGTGTACTTTTTCAAAGTGGTTCAAGGATACCACTCAAAGCCATCACAGAGTCATCGGATGCAAACCCGCTGGTCAACGCTCGTCAGAGCTTCGTCTTTTCAGGAGCCCCGAGCTGTCCCAAGGCCGGAAAACGCCGGAGCGGCCGCTCTGAACTGTGGGCTTTCAGCAGCTAAGAAACGAGACAACACAACTGTAGCTTCATTTTACGACGCTGCATCGTTCGTACTGTTTAGTTCAACACGGGGATGTTCGCTTAGTTAGAACTTTCCATGTGGCATCCTCTCCGTTCTGAGTCGGAGTTGTGCGAGGCGGTTGTAAATAACGGAGGGGCTGAGGTTTTTTATGTTCAGATTGGGCGCCAATGATGTTTGACCTTACTCCCCAACTCCCCTACTTTCCTTCTGTTTGACACACACAGGCTGTTTCTACCTGCACCCAGCCCCCATCTGAACCCTGTGACCCAGGCTTATGAACGGTGTTTGTGTGACACTCCGTGCTCTATGTTTAAAGCGCAGTGACAACTCGAGTGTCTCGCCTACCTGGCTGTCTCATTTAAACCCCATTACTGGCCGGATGCGTCTCCATATGGTTGGTAAATGGGTAGGTAGAAAAAGGCAGAGTTTCAAAAAGGCATTTTGCTTCTAAAAATTCTACAGAAAACAAAAGACAGACTTTTGCTTTTAGGCTGAAGATATAAAACCAGAGAATCCGAGGTGGTATTTCTTGGGAGCAGGCTTCCGATTGGCCACCTCGCAGGCCTGGCTGGGTAAGTGTGGTTGGGGTGGTCTTACCTTTAGGGCTGGTTGGCCTTGTCTTTGACGTCATTCCTGAGAGGACCTGCTACTTTTATCAGAGAAACAAGCCCTGGTGTCCGGGCTGCTCACAGCAGATCCAACCCCACAGCCATCTCACAAATACAGCTGAATGGAGGGGGTGAATGGTCCAGGTTCATTCCCACCGTGGAGCTGTTTGTTTAGTTTTATACTTTGCCGCCTTCCAGAAAGATTTGAAGTAGCTTATGATAGAGACACCAGTGCACAAGGACCATTAAAATGCAAATGGAAATTCAAACTTATAAAGCAGGAGGCCACAGAGATACCGGCTTCCTGAGATACTCTATTTACAGTGATCGGGCATTAAATTCAATATTTCTCTACCCGTAGATAATAGCAATTCACAGTTACACAGCTTGACATTTTACACATTGCTTTCACATCTCCTTTGACCGTCCTCACAGTCCTATGAAGTTGATACTGTTCTTTTTCTCTGAGACAGCTGAAGCCTAGAGAGGGTGAGTGACTTATCCATAGTCACACAGCAGTCACAGACCTGCCTTTGAAGCCAGGTCGTATGACTTTAAAAACCCCGTTTCCTTTCCATCTCGCCTGAACGCTGGCAAAGTAGCTTAGGGTCCTATCAAGGCCTGACTAGTACCATTAACTTTTCGAGAGAAGATTTTTAAATAGAGCTACATCGGAAGCGCCTGGCTGCCTTTCCCCTCGTGGGCCAGCCTCAGACTTGCTTTATGGTGGGAGGTTTTTCTCTGAGGCGGTCCTTTGAAAGCTTTTAAAAAGCTGCAAGTGCCTCCCAGGCAGCTCGTATGTTTCTGAAAGAGAAACATCAAATGTTTCCCTCCCACAAGTTGTGCTGGGAAAAAACCAGAAACCTGGGTAGTTGGCTGGGAGTTTGAGCCCGTTTTCAATTTCTGGGGAAGCAAACCGTGAGGATGAGAGTCAGAGCAATGGGCGCAGCTGGTGGAGCCCGTGTTGTGTGCCAGGCACTGTGCTGAGTGGTTCATGCCGTGACCTCACCCAGCCCTCACAGTGATCTCACCCCCACTGTACAGACGTGGAAACCGGGAGGCTCGGCACAGGCGTGTCTTCCCCAGGTGACCTAGCCACACGTATAAGCTCAGTGCCGCAAGCAAGTGGCCAGTAATAGCAGTAGCTACACACTGAGGTGTCGAGCATTATTTTCTAGATTTCATGTGCTTCTGTCTGGGCCTCCTAGCAATCCCAGGAGGTCGGCACTGTCTCTTTTGTAGAGAGGAAACCCTATGAAGGTGAGTCACCTGCAGAGACCCGCTGCTAGTCAGGGTGAAACTTAAACCCAGGTCTGCTTCTTCTCACGTCATTTCATCCGCTTGAATAGCTCTGTCCCTCACTGTTTATCGCACAGAAATGACCAGAGGGAGGAAGGAGAGGGAGGTGGGAGCGGTGGGCCCGTGGGTGAATCACACAGGGAGTGGCACCCTTGGGTGATGGAGTGCTCTCCCTACCAAGCCTGAGTCTGGGCATCAGGAGAGAGTTTCTCAGGGACACAGCCCGTGAAGGCGGAGTTGGTGACCCGGTTCCTTTTCCCTTAGGGAGGCAGAGCTGTAGGCCTGGCGTGTTGTGCCCAAAGAGTCAGAACAGGACCTGGGGATGTCACTTGGCTGAGTGACATGAAAAACGGCCCCACTGCACGGATTTGTTAGACAGGTGAGATGAGTTCGTATTTGCAAAGAACGTAGAAGAGGGCCCCGCTCACGGTAAGCACACCTAACTCTTTGTAGGGGTGAGTTTTCCTCGCCAGCCTTCCTGTGCCCTGTGCCCATCCAGGGCAAGGTCGTCTGAGGGGAGGGAAGTCACTGGGTCATGTGGGGAAGGAGTGAAGATCCCTGGGCCCACCTGCCCTCCTGATGCCTTGCTCCCATCTCCTGAGTGGCGGTCAGGCTGGGATCTGAGACTTCTTTCAAGGCTGGGTTCTCCAGCCAATAATGATAACAGCTGCCACGTGCCAGGCACTGTGCGAAGCGTGTGACGGGCATGTTCTCATTTAATCCCCACAACAACATTATGAAGTAGGAACTATGCCTGTCCCCAGTTTATAGTCGAAATCCTAAAGCTTATAGAGGTAAAACAAAGGGGCCAAGGTCACAGTTACTAGTAAGCCATGGAGCCTAGACTCCAGCCAAAGTGTTCTCCACCCCAGGCCTTGACCACTTTTGTGTTCCTGAAAGGGCAAGACCGTACAGGGAGGGCAAAGGGATGTGAGAAAGAGGAGAAAAGAGGAGAAAAGCAGCAGGCATGAGGCTGTCCCAGAAACATGGCTCTGCTCATGTCTGTGTTCCCCAGCAAGCAACTGCGTGTGAGTTTGTAATCAGAAGGATTTGTGCTATGGGGTCTTGGGCAAGCTTCCTAACCTCTCTGAGCCTCAGCTTTCCCAGCTCTGAAATGGGGGTAATGATAGCTGCCCTTTGAGTGTGGTTGTGATCATTAAAGTAACCTTGTGGCACAAATCTCCCCTCCATACACTGAGTTAAAGGGAAGATTATATAGAACAAGATAGCAAAACGCTTCTCATAGTAACACATAGCAACATTCAATGAATCTTAGCTTCCTTCCTTTCCGCCCTCGGTGCTGGGAGCAGACTGTCCCAGACGTGAGATGTGGGGAACAGAGCTCAGTCCTATCGAGATCTCCCCTTTACTTCCTATTTTTAGGCTTGGTAATTGCACCAACGTTGAATACAGTTGTCACCATTGTCACAGTTCTCCTACACAAGAGATGAATGCAGCCAGCAAAGCGCTTTGACAACAATTAATTGCACTCACGCTGTGTCATTGCACAGATCCATTTCATAAGCCTTGGGCTGCTCTATTGCAAAACGTGCTCAGGCAAATGAAATCCAGATCTCAGGGCTGCATATCCCAGCTGGACATCGCGGGCTGCCTCTGCTCCCGAGGCTCAGGCAGAAAGCTCTCATCACTGTGGGTACTGGGGGAGGCCTGGAACGTGCCCTATGCCTTGTCTCATCCCAGGCAGAGGGGACAATGAGCTGAGGAGAGGGGTGGTTCTTCAGGACAGCCTGGCATTCTTAGGGATAGATTGGGACATGTCTTAGCTGGTTAGGAGCAGGGAGCAGTTTCCTTATTGCCAGGAGCTCTGCATGTGATGGAAGTATTTTGCACGGCTGCATTTGTAGAGGGAAAAGATCTTAGCACTAACACCTTGCATTGGAATTCAGTTGCTTCCTGTGATCCTGTGATAGAAACAGGCTCAACACAGACACAAAATAGTATCTTCCAGGCCTTGCCTCCACCCTCACTGTGGTCATTTCTGTTCCTGTTAAATTCTGCCCAGAGAGCTCTAGGTGCCCCCAGAGTACCCTGCTGTTCTGTGAACTTCACCTCTAGGACACCACGTGATGCCCACATTTCTTTCCCAGCTAGTGGAGCACTAGAGTTGGCTCCTACAGGCTCGCGAGAACCAATAGTTCGATTTTTAAGGGATTTTGCTAAACAGTTGTTAAACACAGCCATTATTAAAACTAGTTATGTAAGCTTAGAATTAAATAAATTATGTTAAAAACAAAGGTGATACATAGTCAAAATTTACCACCTCCTAATTATTTTACTACATTTTACCATCACCTATGTTCTCAAGGTGACATCTGTTGTGCCCACGGCAGAAATGCTATATAATAGCATGCCATTCTGTGTCTTTCCCATCTTTGTGTTCAGTGATGTCTCAGTAGCTTGGAATTGGCTATGGTGGGAGTATTTACACCACAGAAATTGGCAAATGCTACAGGTTAGTTCCTGCCTTCTCCTCACTGTCCCCATTCCCTCTCCAGTGCTAGTTGTTAACCATTTACTACCACTCACTGTTCACATTTATTAGTATATACTACTCCCAGGCTGGCACACGGCATGGCCACACTGCAGGAGCCAGTGACCAGAGTGGCAGCTGGCTGCCGGTACTTCTGAGGACTTGGGCACCAGAACCTAATCTTCAGGACCCTGAAGCTGCTGCTGCCTTCATGGCAGCCTTCCACCCGCCCCACAGCAGTGACACACCAGTGGTGCAGCCACTTACGCTCCTTTTGTCCCCTAGAGATGATCACAAAGTTGCCTTTTAAGTTTAATCAACACAGGTCAAGAGGGTTTGGGTGTGGAGATAATATAAGTGAAACATACTCTGCTGAGCATGAAAACACTTTTACACTTTGACCCTAGCCCACTGCCCTGGAATTAACTTGAGAACTGTCCTTCCTGCGGGATGGGTCCCTTCCCAGGAGGCTACCAAGGTCCTCAGGTAGCTGGGTGGATACTGCTTGTCCAAAAGCTGGGGTAAACCCACCTTATAGGTGGTCTTAGTGATGCATAAGATAATGTCTGTAAAGTGCTTTGCACACCATATAAGCTCAGTAACCGGTGCTCCTCTGTCCATCCTTTCTCTCCTTGGCTTTGCCATTCAATATGGGCACCCTCCCTCCCTACCAGCCCGAGGCTGCTATTCCTCAACAAGCACTCTCTCCCCCAGGCAAGCTGGTCTCCTCCCCGGGTCTCCTGGTCTCTCAGGGGCCAGACACACACCTTTTGGTTTAGAGTCTCCATAGCCCAAGGAGGTTGTTTTGTTTCCTGGAGTGAGGCTGCCTGCCCTCCAGGCAGAGACTCACCTGCCGCCCCGCGGGGTTTCTGTCAAACAACAGAGCAGGTCTGAGCCGTGAACCCTGGCCTTTCCGGAGATGCTCGGCACATTG